AAAAAAAAGAAAAAATCGCAGTAGCAGAATATAATGTTATAATAACAACTAGTACAATATTCGTGTATTACACGGGTGCTTGTTAAAAAATTATTCTTAAATTTTAAAATTAATTACTATTTTTTTTTATATTTTATTTACTTTTTACAAAAAAATATATATTATTATATATTTATAATGACACTTGTTACTTGTACGACTTACATGTGTTATTTTATAGTAATTTTATAACTTGTATCATATAACTACTTGACCAATGTGAATATATTAATTCATAAATAAATTATTCTAATTAATATTTGAAAAAAAATTATCATTGTTATAAAGATACATATAATTTTATCATTAATATTTTAATAATTTTTATAAAATAATTATGTTAACTTTTATAAAATATTAAAATAGTACACGAGTGTTACTTATTTCGTATTGATACTAGTACAGTACCCGTGTATTAGACGCGTGCTACTTATTACATTTAAAAAAATTATTAATAATAAAAATATATTGTAATAATTTTTATAATATAATTATGTTAACTTTTATATAATATTAAAATAGTACACGTGTATTACTTCTTTCTATTTCTACTAGTACAATACCCGTGTATTACACAAGTATTTACACATAACTTTATTTCGTAATAAAAAGGGTGGTTGTAACACCTCTCATTCAACTCTCACACGCATCGGTTACGCCGCTATGCCAATCCTCGTTAGATGCATGTAATAAATATTGTTTTAATTGATAGGTGGCAATAGCAATACACGTTAGGTGGCAATAACTTTTTATGATATATGTAATAACTTTTTCTTTTTATTGTATGCTATATATAATATTAATTAATTGCATGTTATATATATAATTATATATAACTTTTTACGCGTCGCAAATTACATGTGCGTTCCGAAATGAGAAATTCATAGGTATAAAAATGTCGTCTACATTAAGGTATATAATATATTTGATTATTTTTTTTTACCACAAAAATATATTTGATTATTTATAATTTTAACACAAAAAATATATTTGATCTTTTTTTTTGCGGCAAAAGTTTTATATCAACGAACACGAATATTTCCTCATTTTTTTTTCCTTTGCTCCAAATAGTTCATTTTATTAACAATGAACTGTAGTATTAGCATTTTTTTTTTTAAAAAAAAAAAGGTAGGGTAAAATAGGGTGAAAAGGGGAAACAGCCCATACATGAAACAAAAAACAATATTACACAACTGGCACAACTGGTATGGACAGTTTTTATTCACATGCCAAAACAGTGTCATTTTTTTGTATTCATCACATGTCACTCCCACTGACAAGCAACCACAAACAAGTTGTGCTTTTTTGGCAAAATAGAACAAGAACAATTCTGCCTAATGTAATGTTACTTTATATATATAGTATATATTCATGTTGGGAATATGCAAAAAAAAAAAAAAAAAAA